TACAATAATACTGTTCCAGCTTACATACAAATTCGACTTAAGGACAGATCTTGGGAATGGAGCTTGTTCTTAAATTGTGGACTACCTGTAGTGACCATTCTCTCTTCAACACACAAGATTAAGGTCACATATGGAAACATCCTAGTATGCACATTTTCATCCCTCCTTTCAGTTAAGACAGCAAAGTAAAAAAGATGGACACAGCATGGAAACGGAAGAGGTACTTTGAGAAGGGAAGGAAAGAGAAAGCAGGGAACAAAATTCAGGGGAGCTGTGTCAATGAGAAGAGATAACTGAACAGGGGAAGAGAAACTCTGTTTTGGTGTTATGAAAGAGTTAAATTCACTAGGCACACAGCCCCTCCCAAGCAACAGCTAATCTTTAGGTTAAATTTCAGAAGCACAGGCTTGGTAGCAGCATTTTTGTGGCCAGTTGTACTTCTTGCCCATTCCTTTGTTTTCAGCAGTGCCTTCTATTCTTCTCAGGATATGTAATGCAAACCTCCCAATACATGATTGATTATTTGGAGAAGAACACAGATCCTACTCCTGGTAAGTAAGATTTATTTGTCTAGGGTCTGCATAGTTATATCGGCCATCAAATGAACCTACCATCTATGAAATCCCCCCAAAACATTCACTTTTAAAATAGACTTGCATAATTCAGGGGGATTACTACAAATGCATACCTGCATTTGTTTCCCCTTCTAAGAATTTATTTTTTATGTTTATAAATTTATGTTTTTAATTCATGTTTAATAGCTTTTAACATAGACTGCCATGCTTTTAATGAAGTCTTGTGAATTCATAGCTAACAACTGAAGAAGTATAGCGCAGGTTTAGATCTTTGAAGTTAGAACTGGACTTAGTATTAACATGATGTGCAGGTTTTATGTGAGAGAACAGGAGAGGAAGAAAAAGCCTCCAGCATCTTCTTTATTTTTCAACACCCCCTCTGATTTGACAGCAACTTTAAAAGGAGGATAGCTGTAGCCTACTTCTTCGTTTGGTAGTTCGCCCAGTTACCTAGAGCAGTGTTGTCCAAACTTGGCCACTTTAAGATGAGTGGACTTCAACTCCCAGAATTCCGCAGCCAGCCATGCAGTTGAAGTCCACTCATCTTAAAGTGGCCAAGTTTGGACAACACTGACCTAGAGGAAAAAAAAAGGATAAAGGTAACACGAAGTGGCACAGCATATCTTAGAGAGAAAGGTGGAGTGAAAGCAGGAGGCAAGAATAAGGAGCAAATAAAATGAAATAAATAAAATCAGGAGCAAAAGCCAAGAATGTAGACATGATGGTTGCTTAGGCAAAGCTAAACTGAAACTTTTAGTTCTTGCTATTCAGGAGAATATCCAGTGGTCCTCCTGTTCAGCAGTGTCAGCCCAAGGCCTGAGAAGACCAACCTGTTTAGGCAGATGATGATAAACCTTATTAATGAATTTATTTTAATTCTGTTTTTCCTTTAGAAAAGTGTCCTGAACAGATCTTTACCTATGGTGCTAAATGTGTCCAGCTCCTTAACAAGACTATCTTCCAGTGTCCTTATGGGTTCTACTATGAATCAGCTTGCCAGCTAGGTGAGTTATATGTTGATCCCTTGGGCGCCTCTCTTACAATGAATAGAAACACTTTTTTTACGGTGTTTCTATTATGGTTTGTCTATTGTTACCACTGAACCTGCCTGAAAAAAAAAAG